TCCTGCTTTTGGTGTCTCCGTAGCTTCCAGCCAGACCCGATGCTAACAGGTGCATGGGATGGGTGCACAGATCCCCGAGAGATGAACTGCACGGGAAGGGCAATGGAAGTGTGCAACGGCTCTAGATGCTCAGAGCAGGCTGGCATTCTGCGGAAGGGCCAGTGGGAGAGAGAGGAGAAGCGTGGCGTGAGGAGTGAAAATAGGAATTGGAAATGCACTCCCTTTAAGGAGGCAGGGCACGCTGCTGGGAATCCTCAGGAGCCAGGACAGAGGCAGGAGTATGCCACATTGGGGAGTGGAAGGAGGGCTTGCAGGAGGTGATGGGGTGGTGGATGGTGGGGGATAAGGCTGGAGAGAGCGTTAGGAACCATGAGCAGAGGGCCTCGGGGACGATGCTGTAATTCCCAAGGTGAGCTGAAACATAAGCTTCTGCCCTGAGTGCGTTATAGGCTCAAGTTCAGATCTGGGCCAGAGAAGTGTTCAACGCAGGCTAGACAGAAAAGGAGATTCCTGAGAGGCTGAAACCTGCTAGCAGGAAGCCCCTGCCCTAGTTTATTCAGAAGTGAGAAAAGGGGGACTTAGGAGAGCTTACAGCTCTTTACCTCACTAGATCAGACCACGTGGATTACAAATCTCGATAGTGCAGGGGATTGCCAGCACCGTACGATGGACTTTCTTGGAGGTGCTGTTCCCTGTTCCCGTACCCCGAACAAGCCTGGGCCACCCGTTGCCTTTTCTGACCCTTGCTTTTCCCATGAACATCTGTTTACTTATGAGATGTGGGGAAGTGTTACCTTCCTGTCCCATAGCTCTTGGACCCAACTCTTTAGCACTTTTTATGTTTGAGTGAAAGCACCCAGTTCCACCCTGTCTCCTCCACTAGGAAGAGCTTCTTGGGCAGGGGCTGTGGTTAACTCCAGAAGAGCTTAGTGCAGAGAACAGGGAGAGGCTGGGTTTGCAAGATTTCCTGGAAGAACTTCTATGCTATTTCTCAGATTCTAGGTTTTTAAATCACTTTTACGTTCTTCAGTCTTTTGAGGGCATGGGATTTTGGACTTCTCTGTCTTCATCAGGCACCTAAGTGAAAGGGAGGGTCTTAGATGCTATAGACCAGAGCTCATGAGTGAGTCTGGTTTGCAGTTTTTCCAGGACCTGACTGTGGAAGACCTGCTTTACTTACTCACTTACTTACTTACTTAATTTTTTTGAGAGGTTTTTGCTATAGGGCGCATGCGCTTGCTAGAAAGACAGAGACAGAGAGACAGAAAGCAAGAAATCACCCCCACCGGGGGGATGGCCACACCACAATCTCTTCTCCTCCATTCTCCTCTTGGGATCTTGGGCACGCACACACACGTGTCCAGTATGAGTTTAAGCCACCGGGTCTGGGATTCGAACTGCAGTCAACAACATGTGAGTCCAGTGACGTAGCCATTAGGCCATCTACTGGTCCCCCTGCTTTATTTTTATTTATTTATTTATTTATTTATTTATTTATTTATTTATTTATTTATGTCATACGGCATGTGCACTTGCAAAAAGAGAGAAGAGAGAGAGAGAGAGAGAGAGAGAGAGAGAGAGAGAGAAAGGGAGAAGGAAAGTAAGAAATCACCCCTCCAGGGGGAATGGCCACACTGCCATCTCTTCTCCTCTACTATCCTGAGATTTGGTGCACACATGCACATGTGCCCGGCATAATTTTCAAACTGCCAAGGCCAGGCAAGCACATGTGTCCTATCACAAAAACCTAAAAAAGAAAAAAGCTAGATAAGGTATTTTGAAATGCATCGCTGAACTAATAAAATGATAAGGGAATTCGGAGACAACAAGAGGAAGCAGAAGCTGCCCAGTGGTGGGAGGGCTCTGACAGTCGGAGGGCCAGGGGCCTAGAGACCAAGCCCAGGGCCACAGGGAGTACCCCTCCCTGATGAGAGACCAAACCCGGCAAAGCATGCCCTGTAGGGCAGAGGGCAACCGGACAACTCCCTGCCTAGGTCTGGGCCTTGAGGGGGTGGATGGAATTCCCTCACAGGTTTGAAATGACAGGCTAGCTGTCCTGTGGGTTGGTGACCCATGTCATGTACCCTGACACATGAATGAGACTTGTATTTTCTCTTACTCTTTTCTTCAGAAAATTTTAAACCTACAAAAAAGGTTTTTTTTTTAAAGGATTATCTATTTAGTTTTATGATGATTACTTTTAATTTCATGTGCGCTCACCAGAGAGTGACAGAGATAAAGAGAGAAAGAGAAAGTGAGAAAGCAAGTCGCCAGGTCTTGGACCCAAATGGTGGTTGGCCGTGTGGGAGTCCAGCACCCCAACCACCACACACCTGCCAGCCCGAAGACTGCACTGCTGAGTGGAGAAGTCCCCTGCTGCTGGGTTACCGCTGACTGTATACTGCCACCGCGGCCTCGCACCTACCTGCTTTTGCATAGGTTGAAATGAGGAGATCATCAGGTCTTGCTTGAAAATTCCAGATGTCATCCCAGTTATCACTTATCATCTTGGACATGAGGATTCCATTAATTTCCGCAGTGTCTGGTTGGAGGTATTTTTCGTCCAACTGAAGATCTTGGATTTCCTCCAAAGGCATCTTGGTATGTGTGTGGTCTTCACAGGTGCTTAAAAAAGGAGTCCTTGTGTCATTGCTATACTTAGAACAGTTATTCCTTTATTTTAAAAAATCTCTTACAAAGTTGGAAGAGATATATGACAGGGATTCATTGCTATGTTTCGTGTTAATGTAAGCAAGAGAAGTCAAATCTGTGGGAGCATGGAAACTGTAAATAGCTTCCCCCGCACCTCCCAGGTGGAGAGACAGTGAAAAACAAATCTCTGGTGGGGACCAAAGGCATGGAGGAAAGCAAATCCGGGAGACGTGTTGGACAAGGACAATGCAAGAGGGCCTCCTGAGGCCGGAGTGACTAGCGGTATCCTCACGGAGCCTTCTGGGCCTCCAAGGCCACAGACTCTTGTGAAGTTTGAGCAACAGCGAGCGCTAGGATGGAACCAGTGCTCGGGCTGGTGAGTTACCAAATGCTGTGGAAGCTGGCTGGAGGTGAGTTAGCTAAAATGCACCCATACTACTCAGCGCAGAGCCAGGAGACGCCACAGATACAGGGGAGGTTTAATGAAACTTGTGTTGGGGCTCCCTACTGGGTAGTCACCATAGAATGTTCTGGCATGGCATACTGGTTCACGTAGAAATCCAACCTGGATCTCGTTGCCTGCCCCAACTATCCCTCTGAAGAGCAATTGCCCTACTAGGTAACCTTAATTTGCTTAGGGGGTAACCCCATCTGGCTTAGGACGTGATGGTTATTTCTATAGTAGATAACTCTGGTTTGGTCTCTTGAAATCTTAAAATTGCATTTATGGTAGAAATGCAATAAAGTAAATCAAACCACAGCATTACTACGTTTGTTGTAAGTTTAAGCATAAACCTGGGGGGGGGGGCCAGCAGGAGGTATGCTGGCTAAGGCACTGGACTCCCACATGGTCGACTGTGGTTTGAGTCCTGGATCTGGTGGCTTGAAACTCACAGCAAGTGTGTGTGTGTGTGTGTGTGTGTGTGTGTGCAAGAGAATGGAGGAAAAGAGATTGTGATGTGGCCTTAACCCCTACGGAGTAGTTCCTCACTTTTTCTCTCTCTGTCTCTCTCCAGCAAGCACATGTGCCCTATGGCAAAAAAGTAACAAAAATAAAAAGAAAGAAAGGAATTTTTTGTATGTGTATTATGTGCCCGGGGTGATGCAATCAGTTGTCAATGGCATGACCTCTGCAGTAATCTAGAAGTGACATTCACCCTGAATTTCATCGTGAAAAAATTAAAATAATCAAATACATTCATAGGATGAATCGCTTTGCGAGACACCTGGGCTGGTCTCTTCAGAAGAACTAGCATTACAGAAATAGTCAATACAAGAAACCAACATGGCTTCAGCTGGGAGGATATTCCAGGAGAGACTAGAACAAGTGCACCGCAGGAACCCTGAGTGGGTCCTGCACTGGGGAGAAAGCTTTAGCAGGCAGTATTGGGGTCCTGGGACCCGAGTACAGATGGTGGGTTTGGCGGTGTTATGCGGGAGGGGCGTGTTATGCTTGGATGTGGCTCAGGTGTGGAGGGCGAGTGTCACAAAGGCCCCAGCCCACGCCCAGATGGTTCAGGGCAATATGTAATCCGTGTTTGTGTGTATGAGGTTACATAAGTAGTTGAATGCGGGAACCAGCAGTTAGCGTAATGGCTATGTCGCTGGACTCCCACGTAGTCAACCGCGGTTCACGTCCCGGACCCGGTGGCTTAAAACTCACGCCGGGCGCATGTGCGTGCGTGCCCAAGATCCCAAGAGGAGAATGGAGGAGAAGGGATTGCGGCGTGACCATCCTCCCTGGGGGGTGATTTCTCGCTTTCTGTCTCTATGTCTCTCTCTGTCTGTCTGGCGAGCGCACGCGCCCTACAGTGAAAATCTCTCCAAAAAAAAAAAAAAAAAAGTAGTTGAATGTACGCATATATTTTGGGGTGTGAAGGAGAGAGGTAGGGTGCCCACAGGAGGACATTGGTTGGTGAATCTAGGAGAGGTTTATAGGTTTTCTTTGTACCACATGGGGTCTTAAAAAATGTCATGGAAATGTGTAAGAATAAACTATGATTATTTAAACTAGATTTTAATTTTTTTGTGGCAAATAAATTAGCACTTTAAATCTATTTTCCCATTAAGTTTTTTTTTTTAAATACCCTCATGTTTTTAAAAGCTTTTTGGGGCCAGCAGATGGCATGATGATTGAGGTGCTGGGCTCCCATGTGGCTGACTGTATTTCAGGTCCTGGACCTGGTGGTTTACTTTCTCACTTTCTTTCTCTCTCTCTGGTGAGTGCGTGTGCCCTACAGGAAATTAAAAATAATAATATATAAAACTAAATAAATAGATATATTTTCAGAGATTTTTGCCTTAGAATGTATGTGCTAGCTTGGAGAGAGAGAAGAGGGGGACACTGAGAGGGAAAGTGAGCAATCACCTCCCAGGGGGAATGGCCACACCACAATCTCTTCTCCGGCCAGGATCTTGGGCACGCATGCATGTGCACCTGGCAGGAGTTTCAAGGCACTGGGTCCAGGACTCAAACTGCAGTTGGCCATGTGGGAGTCCAGCAATGTAACCACTACACCGTTTTCTGGCCTCAATAAATAAGAATAATAAAACACTTATTTGTAGGTTTAAAATTTTCTGAAGAAAAGAGTAAGAGAAAATATAAGTCTCATTCATGTGTCAGGGTACATGACACTGGTCAGCAACATACAGGACAGCTAGCTGGTGAGGGAATTCCGTCCTTCCCCCAATGCCCAGGCCTAGGCAAGGAGCTGTCCGGCTGCCCTCTGCCCTTCAGGGCATGCTTTGCCAGGTTTGGTCTCTCATCAGACTCCCCCTCCCTGTGGTCCTGGGCTTGGTCTCTTGGCTTCTGGCCCTCCGACTGTCAGAGCCCTCCCACCACTGGGCAGCTCTGGGCAGCTTTTGCTTACCTTTTGCATCTCTGAATTCCTTTACTGGCCTACTAGTTTAGCGATGCATTTCAAAACATCTTATCCAGCTTTTCTTTCTTTTTTTGAGAGATTTTTTGCTATAGGGCACATGCGGTCACCAGAGAGAGAAACACACAGGGAAAAATAACCCCCCCAGGGGGGATGGCCACGCCACAATCCCTTCTCCTCCATTCTCCTCTCAGGATCTTGAGAACGCACACACATGCGCCTGGCGTGAGTTTAAGCCCCGGGGTCCAGAACTAAAACAATGACTGACTACGTGGGAGTCAGCGACGTAACCATTATGCCATCTGCTGGTCCTAAATTAATGTCGTATTTCTGGATCTCTCTGGAGAGACAAAGTTTTGGTTTTTTTTAAAGAACTAATTTAATGTTATTATTATATTAATTTGCTGTAGGCACATGTGCTCATCAGAAAGAGACAACACAGGGAGCGAGAAAGAGTGAGGTGCCGGGTCTGGGACTCAAACTGTGGTCAGCCACATGGAGGTCCAATGCCTTAACCACCACTCCACCTGATGGTCCCTCCAGCTTTTCTTTTTTTTAGGTTTTTGCCATAGCATGCTTACTGGAGAGAGAGAAGGAAAGTGAGAAATCACCTCCCAGGGAAGATGGCCACACTGCAATTCCTTCTTCTCCATTGTCCTCTTGGGATTTTGGGCATTTATACACACACATGTCAGGTATGATTTTCAAGGCATCAGGTCTGGGACTCACACTGTAGTCAGCCATGTCACATATCTGGTGCCTTAACCACCATGTCACTCGCTGGCCCCAAAAGCTTCTTAAAAAGATGTTTAACAGGTTGCTCAAGATATTTATTCTTCCATACACCTAAGTCTCTTTATAGTTATGTCTAATATATATTATTATATGCATTATATATGTATATATTTATTTATCTGCTATAGGGCACGTGAGCTCATCATAGATGGAGATGGGGGGGAGAGAGAGAGAGAAAGCACCCACTGAGGGGGTGAGCACACAGCAATCACTTCTCCATTCTCCTCAGGATCTTGGACACACATGTACACGTGCTCAGAGTGTCTTTCAAGTCACTGGGTCCAGGACTTGAACCACATAGTTGGCCACATGGGATCTATCTGCCTCAACTACCATGTTATCTGTCTGGCCCTGTCTAATCTATATTTTAGAATATAATGACAGCATATTTATACACTATTATAATGACATTGATGTTCTACGAGGTCTTAATATGCTGTTTATTATTTCTGAGAGGAGTTAATTTTGCCTGGCAAACATATTTTCTGTGGGGACATATGCAGAATGTCGAGTGGCCCATTTGAGGATTCATCTCTTCAGAGAGGTTTTGGGTATACCAGGTGGCCCAAGGCATCACTAATTTGTGGGCTATTTTTATGTTAAATTATCACCTTGGAAGTTGCTGGGCCAAGCAGGTCATCTAATTTGGTCTGTTGCATGGGCCCATGCTTACAAAATTGTGTTTGTTCACTTTTGTGATGTTGCTGTAGGGTGCATGCACTCACCAGAGAGAGAGGGAAAGGGAGAAAGGATCCCCCAGAGGGGTGGCCACACTTCAGTCTCCCTTCTCCCTTCTCTCCTGGGGTCTTGGGCACCCACACATGTGCGCAGCTTCTTTTCAAGCTGAAAGGGCCAGGACTAGAGCTGCTCAAGGGCCAGGTGGGATCCAGCGCCTTAACCTCCACACCACGGGCTGGCCGCCATGCTCACAAATGCGAAGGGGGACGTCTCCTTCGTCTACAGCCCAGGATGACATGATGGAGTTTCTTGACCACCCCGTCTCCCCCGGTGGGACTCCGTTTCCTCAAGTCCTTAGAAGAATGCAGGTTTGTGTGAGAGCTGTTCAGTTCTAACTTCCCGCACTGCAAGGACCCCCAGGCTCTCCTCTCCCGACCTTCATGGACTTTAAAAGGCAGAGATGGGGAGCCAGCAGTTAGCGTAATGGCTATGTCGCTGGACTCCCATGTAGTTGACTGCAGTTTGCGTCCCGGACCCGGTGGCTTTTTTTTGTTGTTGTTGTTGAGATTTTCGCTATAGGGCGCGTGTGCTCACCAGACAGACAAACAGAAAGCGAGAAAT